TCCAGGGATTGTCCGGATGTTTCATTTCATTTTTCTCTTCATGCTTTTGGGGATAACAATAGAATCCAAAAATGATTTGCAAATTTTATTGCTAAGAGATCCCAACAAAAATTAGCCAACTCCCACAGAGGAAGAGAGAGAGAGTCAGAGAGCGAGATGTAAGCGGCACACATGCACGTAAGTCCTGCCTGAAAGAGGGAATCTAATCGGCTTCGACAAAACACCTGGCCACAGGACACGAAGGGGGCCAACGACATGGCAATATGCTCATTGTCCGACGGTTACATTACAAGCTTTTAGGAGCAGTAGAAGAGAGGAAGCTGCTACACGTACTTGACTGGAGCGGATGGGCCAGAAGGGGGCATGTAAATTTTTCAACACAGTGGGCACAATAAACATTTGCACATGGCCGCAGGATAACATCCTCTTCATGGGTGTGACACTGTATGTGCGCGTGTGTGCCTGGGACATCCTGGGACACGCACATGGCCATGGATGGCATGGCATTCGAGGCACGCAACCATTTGTGCCACAGGCGGCAGCACGAGGACAATATCCTTCAGGTAGAAGTCCTGTTCAGTCCATTATCGGCCACAGGGCTTATTCTGGTATCGTTTTCATTGGGTTCTTCGTCTACCCCATGTTAATTTGCACTTTTTTGCCCATATGCCTATTCTCTTCATAAATATGCGTATAATTATCTTTACATTCAATTTCACTTTGTCTGATTGTTTGGCAGCCTCTTGATGGCCTCAAAAACAACACCTATGCTCACACTTTGTTTCTCTTTATCGTTTGTGTGTGTGTCTTGGCCGATGTGTCTGTGTGTGGGCTAGTAATTAGCCAGAAAGTGCTGCTGTTGCCATTAGGAGGAAGAACCGTTTAATGAGAAGTAGTCAGACTCCAACCAGACAGACACAGACACCGATACTGCCACTGTTACTGCTACTGCTTTCAGGTACAGACAAGAGGTCACTGCTCTGTTGCTGAATTGATGCGGCACTCTCTCTCTCTCTTTCACCCATTGTGTGTGTCTGACAAGAGTCAATTGTATATGAAATAAACATATCAAGACTATGGGTACGAGGAGGGGTAGGAAAAGGACGAGCGTAGGTAAATGTGTCTGGCAAAACAGTTAATAACTAAGAACTGCTTTTCCTTCCCTGAAAATATATTCATCAACGCCAAAAGTTTAAATTAATGAAGGCAGTCGAGTCTTAATCAGACATCCGTCAGGAGGACATTCGCAGAAGGCGAACTAGCGAACATTAATTAAATTAGCCAATTAAAAGTTTTAGGGCCAGCCTACAAATCTCCGGATGAATATGTTTGTTCCAGCATCAATGCCAAAAGCCGACGGAAACTTTTACTGTAATCCCCCAAAGCAAATCACTTATGCCGGGGCATAGCGGAGCGACGATTATTCAAAATGAAATAGGCATAAAAGCTGTGGAACTTACCCCAAAAACACACGCAGGCACACAAACCGAATATTGATTTAGCGGTGATTTAGGCTTTTAGTTTATGGTTTTGGCACTGTTGCTTCTTCAGTTTATGGCTTCGTTTCTTGGGTAATTTCTGGAGTTCACATCTTTTAAAACTTGAGTGCTGGAGGCTTGGGCAAAGACGTCATTGCCGTCGCCTCAAAACAAAATAACTTAAAGGGATTTTGTATAGGAATTTTTTTCTGTGTTTATTGCTTCACTTAAAATTTAAATTATTCTTTTGTCTATGATGAATATTTGAGTTTTGGATGAATTATTAATTATTTGGCTTGAGTTTATTTGGTGTGTCTCCTCTTTGGCGGATGCTGCTGCTGCTTTTGCCGCTGAGTTGTGGCACACTGCTTCGTTGAGTTTGAACTGAGCTCAAGTCCTGCCTGGCACTCGCTTTTATTGGCCGCCAGAAGGAAACCCACCACGAAATAACGTGACAGACTGAGGGGCTGCCGTTGCCGCTACTGCCTGCCTGGCCGACTGCCTGCCATGCGCCCCGAAAGGAAACAAATATTTACAGGTGCCTGTTTGGGAATGAGACGGGGTCTGCCATTGGGGTCTGCTCTGGGTCTGGGCTTAGCTGAAAGGCGGCAGGTCACTAAAAGCTCTCATTTTTACAAGATGTGTGCGTTTCCACTGAGAGAAATTTTGTGAGGCAACTTGGAACATTTGGAAATGACAAGAGAAATTTATATTCAGAACAGTTATAGCTTCGTAAAGATGTATGCCATTAGAAAATGGAAATGTTAATACATATATCGATGTACTTTTGCATGGAATATTTAAACTATGGGATAAATTATGGTAAAGATACATTTAAGAACATATAAAATTGGTTATCCAAAGGTATCCTCTAAGTATTTTCCATTGATTTCTCCTTTTTCTGATAATCTGACAACCCTGAAAGGAAAAAGCTTTCCTCTGCTCTCTCTTTATGAAGCGAAGCTTTCACGTTTCAAAACAAACCACCCACACAGCATCACCATACTCTCGTATGGGGAGCGGGCACATGGCCGGATGCCGAGTTCTACAACTTTACAACTGTGGTGAGTTTCCCTGCCCATTCCCCACTAACAACACGTCGCGTGCGAGTGGGCTAAAAGAAGAAGAGTCCACCCAAAGAACCTTCGGCAGCGGCTTAAGCCAAAACAAGGAGAGAAAAGTGCTAGTTGATAGACACAGAGAGAGAGAGAGAAAGCGTAGGAGAAGACTACGATGAAAACAATGCAAACAAAAATTTGCGCTTTTACGAGCAAAGCAACCATCATCAACATGAGCATCAACATCCATTCGCATCCCAGCATCCCAGCACCTCCCCTGAAATTACCGGTCGTCATTCTTTCCTTTTTAGCGGGCATCGTGTCTTATCCTTTCTTTTTCCTCAACTTAGAACCGAACCCAAAAGTTGGACCTTTGGCTGCTTTTCTCACGCCTTGCGTATTTGTCTGGCACGCTTACACTCGTAGTTTTCTCCGCATTTTCTTTATTTTTATTAGAGTTTAGTATGGAGGCAGGAGCAGCAGCAGCAGCAGCTGTAGGCAACAAATTGCCAGCCGTTTAAGCCACTTGGGCGCAACATGGCGTATGCGTAATTATAATTGAAATTTCGTGCCTACAGTTAATGAGTTCTCTCCTTGGCATAGCCCTTGGACGTAAATGTCTAAACGGTGTTATTAACCTTTTAATAAAGAGCCACCTTAAGGTCTATTTATCGAGCATCAAACGGAATTTTTAATCAAAATAACTGACGCTGTAAGGTGGTTCCTTGGTGGTTCCTGAGTGTGGTTCCTTGGTGGTTCCTTGAGGCGTGAAATGCCAGTGGCAATGGGGCCGTTATCATGGCAACAATGTAACTTTTTGCGCCCACCTGAGCTCTGCTCTGTTCTACTCTGCTCTGCGGTTGTTTCAAGCGATCTGAGGGGGCAGCAGCAGGATTTATTCCTGTCCTATTGCATAATAGAAATGCGTCAGCGAAGACACAGCAACATGCATTTTACCCCCCACATCCCCCAACAGCAAACACCGCATAAGATTGTATAAACATAAAAGCCGTACATGACGCATACGCAATATTTGTGGGGGACTCTCTTCATAACCAAGCCGCTGAAATGCTCAAGTGCTTCGCTGTTTGTTACGAAAGTTTGCAAAATAATTGCATTTGCGAGAGTTTGGTATATGCGGGTTGAATGTTGCATGTTCTGATGATGAACTATTGACGTCAGTCTTGGGGTTTCGCCATAAATGGAGCCCTCTTCACTGTAAGATTGGTTAACGAATGAGGATTTAAGTATTGGTGTTTAGTTTGTGTTGGGTAATCCGCTTAAGAGGTCTTGTGTTGTCTACAGCAAAAGTATTCTTGTATAAACCTCGACTTTAACTTCAGCCTTGACCATAAATTATTGATTTGTCTGGTCAATTAGTCTCGTTAATGTGATTAATGATGGGGGTGGAGCCCGAGCCTGGGCATGCTAGACCCACAATTGAATCAATTTGACATTGAAACAAGAGCCTCTGGCTCAGGCCGGAGCGGCCGTTGGAATTTCCCCCTCCATTTATTAAGTCACTAAAAGTAAAAGCCATTGCATCAGCCCCATAACCTTTAGGTAACCCAAAATTGTAGCTCGCGCGCCCCCCGCTCTCGCTCTCTGCCTCTCTGATTCTATTACAGGATGGCATTGTATGTGGGGGCTGAATTTTAAAAGCATTCATTATGACTGCCATAGAGAGAGGGTAGTGCACGCAATAAACCAATTTCGGCGTCTGTCTCACCTGTCCCTGACTCTTACTATTTTCCGCTACCCCTTGCTCAAGCTGTTGCTTCCGTGCAGCACCGCTCTAGCTCTATCTATCCATGCCACATTGAACCTTTCATTGTTTTGCTTTCAAGTTGCGCGGTAATTTCATTTGGTAATTGTATCCTGCAATTTGCTTTTGCTCTGGGGGCAATTTGATGGAGAAAAAACCCAGCCCGCAGCTGTAAAATGCTAAAGGTCATAGAGTGGAGGGAGCTGTAGCACCCAGGCACAGGGAAAGAGGGCACAATGAGTGGGAGGCAGAGACAGATCCAGCATGGCATCCATCAAACTGCATTTGGAACGCAGATAGCATAGAATTCATTAGCGGAAAATGGCAAATTAAAAGCACTTATCATCTCCGGTGAAATCACTAAAAGGGAAAGCAGTTTTCCTGTAAATGAATCTTATCATCTCTGGCTCGCTATACAGAGGATTCTATAATCTGCGTTTCCCGCCATGGAGGGGCCCTTTATCCGCAACTCCCTCCCTAGGGGCTCTCCATCATCGACCCCAATGAGAATTAAGTTACCTGGAATCGGAACCCGTGAACAACAACATCGTCATGCAGTAGGGGGACCTTGGCATTATGTATCTATACGCAGTGTAATCAGATGTCAGGTTTCTCTCATTTACGTTGCCATTTGATGAGCTTTGATTAGCAGCGTAGCAACGCTTGCCGTATAATTCTTGCATTCATCTTAAAACTTACCTTCTCATCCTTGGCATAGAATAAGTTATTTCGCTTCAGTCGAAAGTAGCGGCGTCGCCAGCGCTGAAAGGACCAGGTGTGCTTCAGCAGGAAACCCTCTTTAATGATGGCAGACTAGAGAAAGTACAGAAAATAGATACGATTATTAAAACACTGAGTAGAAGTAGACGTTTCCACTTGGTTAGAACAACATTTATTCCAATGGCAATTAGCCATTGATTGCGCTGAAACTGCACTTCACACTAGAGAGTCAATAATAATGAATGACATGGCATGTCACTGCGCTCAGAGGGACATTAGACCTGGACATGGAACTGTACATGAACCCATTCCGGCCCGGTCCGGTCCGGTTCGCTCTGTGGTGCCACCCGTCAATTGCAATCTCCAGCTGGATGTCAACCATAATTGGCTGCAGGCTAACAAAGGCCAATGGCAAGTGTTGCTTTATGGATCTGTGGCTCTGTGGTGTGCATGTATGTGGGGGCAACAATATGGTCAGCAATCAATTGTGCAAACAAAGGCCAATCACACTCAACCACAGCCACATTTTTCTCCCCCATTCACAGTTATTTGCGAGTCGCGGACAAAAGCGAATGCCACAGGACGAAGGGGGAAAGTGTTGCGAGGGTGAAAGCGAAATATAAAAGTGTAAATATGCATCGGCGCCAGAAGGCGTCTAAAGTGACAATAATCTGGGCCAATTATACTACAAATAAACCTTTTGATTTGAGCAAATTGTGGGACTTGGTCAACTTCTTTCTCAGAGCACTTCAGGAATCGATGAGAATGGAAATGAGAATGGCCATGCCGCTGGCTGAAAAGCGCACAATTGCAATCCGTTTAAGTTTCGTTTGAACCGGATCAAGCGCAATTTACTCCCTCTCCTTTTTCAGCCACCCGTGTACATTCTCGCATTCCGTATCCTTGGGAGCGAAAAGGAAATTCAACGTCAAATAATATTGGAAAATCTTTAGAAGAAATTGCAACGAATCAAGTTGTAGAAAATTCCATTTGATTTCATTTTCTCCATTCTGTTTGTGCAGCAAAATCGAAGACATAAAAGCGGAAAGGTTTGCACAGTTAGGAAGAGCTCTTTAATAGTCAGCTCTGACTTTAATTGTACTTAAAAGTTAGCACTAAATTCGAAAGAATTTCAACTTGAACTTAGGTTGAATGACCGAGCCCGAACCCGTACAAAAAAAAGGAAAATTCAATTGGAAATTTACTCCTCCCGCCTTGCAAACTGTGACTAAAAATCAAAGTTACGGTGCTATCATATCAAGATCAATCATCGTCAATCAATCATTCTGTGTGCGTGGCCATGGCTACACATCAAGTATACGCCAAAGTGGCCCCGGCCGAAAGCCGACAAAGGCAGCGTCCATCAGGGGCAAAAGACCAAAAGATGATGATAAGCAAGTTTGAAATTTTTCGTAAGCCGGGTATTGATTTTGATTTAATATTACCTATTGGTCCCTTGCCCCTACAACCCCCACATTTCTGTATTTTTTTCTTTTTCTCTGTCACATTTTTTTAGAGGTAAAAAGATACAAGATAAATAAAAGACCGGTTCAGGATGCATAGATATGGATATGAGTTTCCCTTGTTGGTCTCTCAGTCACGCAGCCCAAAGAATACGTACAAATTTCCCACACCCTTTTTTATTGGGTTTTGCTTTTACTTTACTTTTCCTTTGATTTCGTTAGCTTTTGTTTTGCCTTTCCTTTGGGTTTCCTTAGCTGCTCCTTCTTTTATTGCCGCTTTTGCCACATTATGTATTAGGATTATGCTCTGTTTTCTCGGATATCGACTCTTTCGTTTGCCTTTGCTCTGACTTTTTGATTTTATTTTGGTGCCTGAAGTTTATAGAAATTAGCTGTTGGATGGGCGAAGGAGCGAAGAGCTCATCCTTGGCAGGCTCACGTGATCAAGAAACAGTTGGCCAATTGTCTGTGTAAATAGTCGTAAATAATTCAAAAGTTCTTCTTCGCCAAGCACGTGGCACCGGAAGGAGTGAGTTGAATGGGACTCGAGGATATTGCGGCAAAAGTCCGCAAGGGTAGGGGTCCAAATAAAAGCAGTCGACAGACAATGCCAATCCCGGACTTTTGGCTTTGTTTATTTTGTACGTTTTTCTGTATTGTTGAGAGCTGAGGGCTGCAGTAATTGGCCTGGCATTGGGTAAGGAATTAAAGCTAATAGAAGCATTTAATTTAAATCACATTTCCTTGGAATATTTAATGTAGATTTAATTTTACTACAATTTTAATTCAGATAGAGCAGAAACTATTCTTTGTGTGGAGATGTGCAAATTTACAGGTTTTCTGTGGTTATGAACCGCACTGTCTGACAACTGTTGAGGTTTTTCCTGCCAGTCTGCTTTCTCTTCTCTTTGCCATCCCTATTGTTCTACGAGTATTCGTTATTCTCTGCCGGTGTTTTGTGCGCTAACCAAAAACGCCTGCCATCCAGCTCAAGCACTAAGAAGCTTTTGTTTAACGTTTTGCTTATTGTTTTGCGGTTTGACATATGTAACCTCCCCCTTCACCACACACACGCCACATGTACGTGTGTGTGTGTGGTGATGGGGAATACGCCTCCATCTCTATAGGGTGGTACTTGAATGTTGCTTGTCTGTCATAATCAGGAAAATGTGTTTTGTTCAGCCGTCAAACGAAATAAATCACAAATAATAAATGGCTGCACTTAAAGCACAAATTGCAAACGTATAAAATGGAGGAAAAAATATTTGCTAGAATTTATTTATTTGCTCTCATACATTCGAGTGTTACCAGGAGAGGTCAAGAGACGGCCTGGGCAACTGGACTAAAAATACAATCAAAATCCTTTTCCAAAAGGCCACGGTGCAGCGATGCGTATAATTAACATCAAATGGCCAGAGCAACGCGGCGGAAATCCCATCGCCTCGACAAGGATATGGGGCGGGGGTTTGAACTTTTGCCCCTGAACAAATTATTCATACGACGCGTGGTCTGCGGGGATAATGATGGGTGGAAAGGAGGGAAGGCTTTTGTGAGGAAGTGCGTCGAATGCTTCAAAGTGACACCAAAACCATAAAGAACTTAATTGAAGCTTTCCTCAGGCTTCCTCTTTGCTCCAACATTTTGGCGGAGTTTTTTAGGGGCTTTCCTTTCAGTCTTTCTTTTTCTTTGCTTTATTCTTTCATTTGAGAGAGCCGCTGGGCAACTATGGCAACATTTAATTAAAATATATGAATGGTTTAATGGCCTTATTTTCTTTTGTTTTTGCTGTGGACTTTATGGTTGAGGTGATACTCTGTGGCAGCGCCTGAAAGTCTCATGTTCGATGCAAATTATGATAATTTTGGCAGCAGCTTTGGGCGTCCCTTAATCTATGCGACGGATGACACTTGAAATGCGGCATTAAAATATTCAGCAACTTCTTGAACTGCGCCTCTGACCTTTGGCAAACGCCACTGCCAGCGGCGCTGGCGCCACTTGCAACATAAACCCTCTGGCACACGCACGCAACGCCCTATGGCTGCCCTCCACCCACCGCACTCTTTTGCGTGGCATGCAACTTCCGCTCCAGAAACTTTGGAGCTAACGCTCTGCTGCATCGCTGCATGGCTGACAAAGCCATGGATGACTCTTTTCACAGCGGCCAAGTGCTGGCTGTCTGTGTGCCAAAGGGAAAGCGCGAAAGGGAAATTGGGTCTGGCAACTGACGCAGGAACACTGCTGCCAGAGCTACTATGTCAGAGGAAAACTGTCAGGAAGTTCTCTTCCAAAAGGAAGACTTTCTGAGTGAGACTTCGAAAAGAGAAACTTCCAGGGGATTACAACCAGGAGAATCTCTACCAAAGGGAAACCTGTCAGAGGCACAATTCCAGCGAACAGACTGTGATGAGGGAAACTCCCAGAAAAAAGCTCCTGTCAGAGGAAACACTGCCAGCGGGAAACAGCGACACAAAACCCTGCCAGAGGGAAAGGAAACTAGCAATACTCACCAGATTATTGTTGCGCTTGGTGGACATGCGACGCTGGAAGAGGCGTGCCGGCTCCGTTTCAATTTCCGACTCCGACTCGGTGTCGTCGCCATCTCGACTAATCGAAATGATCGGTATGATGGGCACTGGCGAGAGGCTGCCAGAGCTGCAGGCACTGCTCCTGCCACTGGAGAGGCTGCGTCCACTCCTCGGGCTGCGGGGACTGGCCACGTGGAGGGTGTCCAATTTTAAGTGGGCCATTGTCGGGCTTCGCTTACATTTACGTTCACGTTCACGTTTACTTTTACGTCTACGTCTACGTTTTCTCTTCTTGGCGTTGTGAAATTCCTTTGCATACTTTCAGGCGGGTCTCGACGGCTTCCTTGGGGCAACTGTCACGTTGCAAGGACACGCAAAACAGCACGCAGAGCGTTGAATAAAAATAAAGACGGGAACCTTGCTTAGAGTGGACGCACCAGTAGCCGCAGGTGGCAGTCCCCCAGTGACTTTCCGTGCTTATGTAAAAAGTTGCCAGGACACAACACACACAATGGATATACACCCCAACCTCTAGGATCTGAGTGAGTTTCTATGCCCTTTGTTCGGTTGCTTAATGGTCGCACTTTTCTGGTCCAAGAGTGGCTTATGGTATTACAATAATTGATATTACATACGAGTAGATCAATGTCCGTCTGTCCTTTCGCCGTAGCACAAAAAGTGTATACACTCAATATTAATAAATTTAGCAAAAATACTTGCACATAAACACATGTATATACCGTCCAATATCTATATATTTATATATTTATGTATATGTATACGTATATGTTTTTGTATATATTTCTTTAAGCAACACTAACTAATTTTGCAATTGGAAATAAGGTTAATCAATTCAATTCAATAAGTTCACGAGTACGAGTTCGAGTCGCGAGTACACCGTCAACATTAAACATAAACATAGAAAATTGTCTAGCAAAAAATTATCGTACACAAAAAACACTCACAGTTTACACAGATTCACATTTTCGAGTATACAAATTCACGATTACGTTTACAATAATTGAAATTTTCCCTTAATTATTCCCCTCCCCCAACTCCGGTTTATAAAAAATATTCTACTCTCTAGCACCGACGCCTGAGGCCTGACGCTATTGTTCCTTTCTCTTCTTTTTTTCTATTTTTATTTTCTGGTTTGGTTTTCCCTTTCTCCATCCGCTTTTCTTTGGTGTGTTGCGTGAAGCCTGTGTTCTGCTCTGCTCTGCTCTGGACTGGATGAGTCGGAGCCGCGCGGCGTACTGTACGAGACCGCAACCCTCACTGTCAGCTGCCGCCGAGTGTGGCACAGAGCTTGGCCCCAAACGCTAACCAAACGGCACACTCTGTTTCTCCTTGTTGGCTAACTAGGGTTGACAGGGTCTTAAAGTAACTTGAGTCTAGTTTAGTTTTAAATTTTAGTTTTATAGCTAATTTTTTTTGCATTGCATTTAGTTGTTTTATGCTCTTTATGAAGCCAAAAAGTTCACCCCTTTTATACATTTCTGATGTTCTCTTTTTACTTATCTCTCACTTCAGAAACGCTGGCAACTCTGCTGCATAAAACAGCAAAGGCAAAATTCATTATCCTGGCCAACAAGTTTTTGTGCTCTTCACTTTGTTGCCCACATTCGTGTGAGAGAGGCTCTTACCCAAGAATAGAGAGGTAAACGAGGAAAGAGAGCGTACACACCCACGCAAATAGGCCGAGCAAAACAAAACGCTGGAGAGCGAAAGCTAGGACCAAAGCGCAGACGAGGACAAAGTAAACAGGAAAGCCGAAAAATGAAAATGGAGAGGCACAAATGTCGGCGGAACAGAAGCAAAGTCCCGACAGTGCGATGGGCCACAATTACAAAAGAGTGCAAAAGCAAATTTGTTGAGTGGCAACCCCAGTGGGGTGGATGGGTGGTTCAAACGCCAAAGGGGTGTGTGCTTTTCCGGCCTTGCGCTTTGGCTTTCACTATTTGTTGTCTGCTGTCGCTGACGCCCCCTTCTCACCTGTCCTGTGTGTGTTTCCCGGCAACCAGCCCACACATCCCGGCGGGCATTACTCTTTACGCTTGACTGCAGTTCCCTATTTATTTTATTACATTTTCACGTGGCTCCCATGCACACAAACACACACCCACACACACACAACAAATAGATGAAGCAACCATATTTGCCTTATTTTCCGTTTCCGCCAATTAGGAAAACTGCCAGCTGAGTTCTTAATGCATTTTAAATGCGATTGAGTCACCAGCGAACGGACTTCATGCTTATATTAATCTCAAAATTGAATCTGGCAACAATCCGGAATTGCCATAAGCTCCCTCCGTTAAACTATTAATTCAATTTCCGGATTGACAGGCCATTAAATGCATTCACTTTCAGAACAGAGCTCTCTGACCTTTTGGGGCATTATTTTCATGTAATTGAATGAACGAAAGTTTTCATTAGCAACGGGGGAGGGGGCTCCAAATAATTTAGTGGCGATAATTGGATGCATTTCACCCTTCAAAAAGTTTTTTCATTTAAGAGATTTAAGGAATATCCATTAGTAAAATACTCAAACTCCCATCAAAAGTTTATTTAATGGAGTTCATAGAAAGTTTTTAGTAGATTGCATGCCAACAGATGACGAATGATGCATGCCGCAATGAATGTATGAATGCCAAATATTAATATTGAAAAGAATTGACCTCAGCCTCAGCTATCGTGCTCCACGCAAGAGTCATAGACCCAGTCATGTCTTTCCCCATTTATGTTCTTATCTCTAGCGCCCTAAAAGAGATATTGGAATAACTTTGGAGCTTAAATTGAGAATGAAAGCACACCTACCCTTGGCATCGTCAGGCAGCGCCTGAACCTCATGCATGTCCTTCCGTTTGGCCCGCCTTTGTCCATGCCAAACTCGTAGAGACATGGCGTGAGCAGAAAGCCGCCCCAATTGGCAGGCATGGGTATATCCAAATGCTGCTGTCCAAACAGCGAGCCCATTCGCTCGGCCAGCCACTGCAAGGCGCCTGATATGCGGGAGGTCGGTGCCTGCGACGCCTGTGGGCCATAGGCAAGGCAGAGTTGGACGTGGCGCGGATACCTGTGAAACTGGTGCAACGCCTGCTCAGCGCTTAGCTGCCGGGCGGTGCCAGAAATGCGAACGCTGCGCATAAGCGGTGCCCAGTTGAAGTGCAGCGACACGTGCGGATTGCTGCTTATCTCGCCCGCCTGTCGACTCCCCAAGTTAGTGTAGAAGGTGATCCCACTGGAGTTCACAGCATCGATTTTGGTCAGCCGCGTCACCGGTTCGCCGGCCTTGTCCACGGTGGCCATGCACGCCAGTCGGGGTCGCAGCTGTGGCACCTGATGCTGAACAGCCGCCAGCCACTGCAGGAATATCCGGTAGGGCTCCTCGATGGTCTTGCGCTCCTCGCGTGGCAGCGTGCTGGCCCTTCGAAGACCCGACGATAGACTGCCCTGCCGCAGGCTGCACAGCAATGGGCCCGAGGACAGCGACTCCCACAATTTTGGTAACACAACTGAGGTCATTATTGGAATTTTAATGATGAGTTTTCTAAATGATGTGAATCGAAATGACATGTTGATTTCTAACTTTATATTTCTAATAACAATTCAATCTTTCTACCTCTAAGCGCTTTGGAAGACATTGCAAATGCTTTTGAATCTTAATTATATAGTGTTTTCACTTTTTAAGGAGCCAATCTCTCGTAGATCCAACCATCCTCTCCGCCATGCACCAGCTTGCCGTCGACCTCCGCCTCCACTCCATCGCCGCGTCTGAAACGAATGCGATCGTGCAGACGATCCGTCTGTCCCTGCCAGAACTCTATGAGATTGGGACGCACCAGATATCCGCCCCAATTGGGCAGGGGTACCTCTGCATCTGGGCCTAGTTTGGCTTTGATATCTGCTTCCTTTTCATCCAGATAGCCTCTGGAGGGAATGCGCTGACTCTGTGGGCTGGCAGCGGCTCCGATTTGGCTGGCCCTTGGCCGCTCATGAAAGTACTTGAGGGAATCCTCCTTGGAGATCTTCTCTGCCACTCCCTCAATGCGAACACTGCGTCGGAGAGGCAGCCAGTAGAAGGAAATGGCCACATTTGGATTGGTCAAAATGTCGTCGGCCTTGCGACTCCCGTAGTTGGTGAAAAATGTGAATCCCTCGGCCGTGGCCTCCTTGACCAGAACGAAGCGATTGGAGGGCTTTCCCTCGGGATTTACAGTGGCCAGGGCTGCGGCATTGGGCTCTAGGATCTCCGGCGTCTTAAGAGCCACCTGCAACCAATCGCGAAACACGCAAAAGGGATTCTTTATCTGGATATTCTCCTCCAGAAAGGCATCCTTGCGCTCGCGGTACTTTAGACGCAAAGCTGTGGTTGGGGAATCCATAGTATGTATGATTATTCTCAGTTCTGACCTTAAATCCGTAGAAAACTCACCTGAAAGCTGCACTTCTGTCAGTCCCTGGCTCATCTTTCGCACTGTCTGCAGCAGTCGCACTGTTTTTTATGGAGTTATGGGGGTTTAGTTAGTTTTAGCGCTTACGACCACAGGGTCACGTACTTGTTAGAAGGTGAGATCTCACGATAAATGGTTACTAAAACGTTATCTTAAGTGATTATTTAATGCAACATTTAGATTGCTTTAGCTTAAAAGCTGTCACCGATTTATCGATAAGACAAACCGCACGACCCTCAAAAATATACCAAATAATGTATTCTCAATTTCAAAATATACCGTAAATATAACATACATTTTTAATAATTTTCTTTGATTTTGATGTTTTAATTAATATTACTAGCTCGTTAGGCTTTTCAGCGTTGAAACTATAATTTTATCCGATTAACCAATAAATTCTCCACAAGATTGGCTAGTTTTTATGACTTCTTTCCATTTTAATGTTTCCAAACTAAGTTCAAAATTAAAAAAAGTCAACCAATAAGAATATCATAAAACGTTACTTGAGTGGGACAACCAGAAGTTGAAAACGTGTTGCTTGCAACCAGTACTATAATTTGTTATGTGCCTTTGTTTACCATATTTTTATTTATTTATATTTAAATTATGTTGTCAGAACTGCTCTTAAACAATAATAATAACTTTTTCTTGAAGTTACATGTTTTAATTTGGTTTATATTTTGTCTATGTAAGTATATGTACATATATCTATCTAGATACATTCTCGGTATCCACATATAATCTAGACAATATCGTTGAGATGGATCTACCCACAGATTGACTTGTTTTTGCATTGATTGGAGACTGACATTTCCAACAATTCCTCAATTTGAGGATATATATTCTGCAAAAGTTAAAGAAACGTAAGAGTAATGGAATATTAAATAAGTGAGGAAAAGGAAAGTCATTTGAAATACATGCGTATGGAACTTTTGATATCCTATATTCTTAAATGTACCTATAAAATTAATTTTAATAGACGGATGAAAATCATTAAATATGCAATACCGATTACAGTCATTTCCGTGGTTAAAATATCCCGAAAAGTCACCCTGCTTGAAAGTGCCATGCACAGCTGATTGCTGAGCAGAGTTGCCACTTGAAAAAGATACAATTTTTTAGTTCACAAAAAGTACAATGTGAGAGATTATCTACAGGCGCCACTGAAGCTTAAATTGTGTAAAATGGATGTCAAATTTTAATTTTTGTGGGAAACTGATTCTGATTAAATTATAAATACGGGAAAAGCTTTGGAATAAAGTAAATCTAAAAATGAATGATTGCTTGCAAATTGATGTTTCAGTTATTCGAACCCCTATTTGATTGAAAGTAGTGTATAACATTTTATTTTACAAGCTTAAAGTGTAGTTATTTTAAAATAAAGAAAGCCACGAAAAAGGTCCAAAAGAAATGTCAAAAAATCTGTACAAAAACAAACAACACGTGCGAGAGAGTGATTCTCTCTATATTTTGTACTCTTTCTGTTGAAATTTCTTTCTCTCTGCGTCTTTTTTGCAGGGGTTGTTGCCACTATCGGGGGCTTGGAGTCCTGCGACGATGATGCCATACGGATAGAGTAAATTCAACACGAACGGCTGCTGGACGTGTGCCGTGTGCGAAACGAGTGCGGAGCGCAAGCGAGAAATTATAGAGAAAGGCCAGACGACAGGAAGAGCGGGGCAAGGAGCATTATAATTCCGAGAAAAAAAGTTAAAATTAACAAGGATATTTATAGATATCGCCGCTAAGAAGAAATCAGTGCAGTGTTAAGTGTTTTCGTGTGGCTGTGAAAAGTTCTAGGACCCACAGGCAGGGGCAAAGTAGGTTAAAGCGGTGCAAGGGGGCCACGCAAGGCAGCAAAAGTCAGTGAGAAAGCAGAGGAAATTTTTTTTGGCTTTCCCTTTAGCCACATTTTGGAGGTCGGTGTCGGTCGGTTGGTCGGGTTGGTAGTTTCTGTGGCTGGAGCTGCATGTGTGTATGCCGCAGGGGCAAGAGAAACTGCAGATGCAGTGCGAGTGCAACAACAGCAACAACAAAGGCGACAACAAAAGCGAAATGCAAATGGCTTGATATCAAATAGCAAATGAACTTCGTATTTCTAAACATTTCAATTTATATTCTCTAACCAAAATCCAACAACAACAACAAAAGTGATATTTTCTACGACTGTGGCTTGATTTTTGCACAGTACAAAAAACACAAACACACAAAATAGAGGGGTAGGGAACTGACACAGACCCCACACAACCCACACCACCCACACACACGATAACTATATAGCAATATATGCCAATTGAGTGCCTTATATCATTTGATAATAATCCACAAGGTGTCTACTATGCCGGACAGGAGCTATCTGGCGTTGTTGATCTCAGCGTCGATGCCACCAAGCGGATCAAAGGTGAGCAGTACAAAAAGGGAATGATGATTCGGTTAGGGGTTTCCCTTGTCTTGATGTGCATCCATAAATTCCTTCAATATTAATTCTTGAATTGAAATTAATTTAATTTTAAATTCTTTATAATTTCATAACTTTCATGACTCACGGGGCGGTGTATGAGTGATGCGGAAAAGCACTTAACATTTTAGTTGCATTTAAATGCACGAAGGACACGAACTAATGCTATTATTAAAATGTATCTGGGGAGCCCCACCAACGCCATTTTGTATGTGCCATGCAATTAATCGTGGCTCCTGCCGGAACAAGAGAGAGGGTTTACGGTTTCGGGCTACGGGCTACGGGCTACGGCTATGGCTATGACACCCCATCCCACTGCTTAGTCAGAGCTTGTGGTACTTTTCGGTTCGTTTATGTGCTGTGAGTTTTCATTTTGGCAGGCCGCCATTTTTATTTATCCATGAACTCGTTAAAGGCGTGGCTGGAGTGTCTACGGCGATGACTACTCATGACGATGACGATGATAATGATGATGATGTTGTTTGCCGGATTGCAATTTAATTTGGGAGCAACCTTAGTCATAGTTTTTGGGCACTGTTTTTGACCTGGTTTTCTCTCTGTCGCTACGTATTTTTCTCTTTCAAGGCATCCACGTCACTGTCAGCGGTTATGCCAAGATACGCTGGATAAAAAAGGGATATCCGCGCGATAGCGAGCGCGCCATGTGCCGTGCCTATCGATCGTATCTGTCATCGAGATCGTATGTGCTGGGATCGTGCGCGAGCAACTCGTTTATCGACTGGCCCGCCGGCGAATACTCGTACACATTCCATGTCATCCTGCCCGACAATCTGCCCACATCGTTCGATGGCAAGTATGGACAGATACACTACGAGATCATAACGACGATCGAGCGGGCCGGCCGATATCCAAAGGTCTTCAAGCTGCCATTTACCGTGATACAACCACTAGACCTGAATGCCGATGCTATATACAGAGTGAGTGTAGTCTCTGTGGGATAATTATTGTATATTTCTTATTGTATCTGTTTCTGTGCTTTAGGTGCCCTTGGAGATACTCGATCGTAAGCGTTTCTGGAGCTTTTGCTGCCCCACGGGACCGCTGACTGTGAAGTTCTCAACACCCTACTGCGGCTATGCCCCCGGCCAGAAGATCCACTTTGTGCTGTACATCAACAACGAGTCCTCCATCGACATCACCGAATGTGAGGTGAAGCTGAAACAGGAAGTCAGCTATGAGTCGCACGATCCACATCACGAGTATCGCTACGACAAGCATCTGATAGCACGAAAGCAGTTCGGGAATGTCCTGCGCTGGTCGAGGAAGGTGTACAGGGGATTCTTGGATCTGCCGTCAATACCGCCAACATCGGTGAAGCCCACATGCCCCATTAGTGTTAACTATTCGATTAAGATCATTGTCAATCCAACGGAGTTCCACTGGAAGCTGAAGCTAAAGATTCCCCTGACCATTGGCAGCATACCGATCATGGATGGACCGGAGGCCCTGCTGCGCTTCAATCGACAGCAGCAACAGCACCAAGTAGTTAGTCAAAATTTACAAATGTCAACGCAACAACAAAGGCCGCGACACAGAGATCGGGATAGGGATCGCGATCGTGATAGGGATCGGGATCGGGATCAGAATCAGAGGACGCCAACCGCACAGCAGAGACA